CTGACTAGGATCAGCCCCAACTTTCGGGGGAATAGGTGCTGATCCTCGAAACCCCAAATTTCCTCCTTGAGCATTAGGACCCATCTCCAAAGGCCTCCCCTTCTGTGAWACTCCATCTGGGTAATCACCAGTTCCCTCTTCCAATCCRTTACCAGCAGAGAAGCCTCCTTTTTTCTGCTCAGAAAAACCAGTTACCATATTGGAACCCTTCCCTTCCAAACCAACTCCTGGGATGCTTACCTCTTGTGATCCACCAGGTTCGGGAACCCTTGATCCAGCACCGTCAGTCTTTTGAGCTTGTATTCCACCATTCCCAATACCACCTAACGGGACTATTGCCTCAGGGCGCKGYAGTTTGAGGAAACCATCACCAACGTTCACATCGTTATAGAGATCATCGTATTCATCGTCTTCCCCCATCATCTCCTCTTCTGCAAGTGCAGGGATTGCTCCACCACCCTGATACTGGATCTTCTGACCTCCTCCATACTCTTCATCCCCGTAGTCCAATTGCTCTTCAGCCATGGGATCCATTTACGTGGTCTCCAGAAGAACAAATTTACAGATATCTCTTAACTGCACCTAATAAGCAAACGTATGAGAAACGGGGAGAGAGATCATGCCCCATTTAATAAATCGAGGAAAAACAATAATTTAAGCACCCTTCGAGTACAACACATACAAGAGAGGGAGAAAATAGAAACCTTTAGCTCTCATCCATAGAGAACTCAAATAACAGAGAAAATTTTGATCATGGAACTTCTTCAACCCATCCAAAAAGATAAAATAAAAATAAAATAAAGGAGCAGATGTCCAAAATCAGACGTCATTACCCAGAACAGTGTGTGCGTATGTGTGTCTGTGAGAGGGAGGAAGAGATCAAATAGAACACTAAGAAAAGCAGAACACGAGAAACTCTGTGTGACCCACCCAGGGAACCTCACCCAATTCCCTAAAAACTGGTAACGATAACAGACCAATTGAGAATAATTGCTACCCAGGAAACAGCTAGCAAGAGCAACAAAAAGTGCCAAAGCTTCCAAATACCCACCTCAAAAAATCGAAAAATACAAAGAATCAAACTATTAAAGTGCATGACCCTAAATTCATTATGAAAAATATAAATGAAGAACGCGCACAGCGCACGGACACCTTAGCATATTGCATACAAATGTCGAGCAGCTAAGCTACTGAGAACACAGATAAAAAATCAAACCAAAGGAACAAAAATATGGATCTAAGATGCACGCTAAAGAAGATTATTACCAGGAAACGCGACCACCACAAAGTCAGTGGGATGGGAATGAAAAAAGTTGCGAGATGTTCCGGTGTTGGGGTTTTGGATAGGGTGCAGATAGATCGAAGACGATTAGAAGCTCTCTCACTCTTCTCTTCTGCCAAATCCTGGTCTTCTTCTACCCCCTGAGCCGCCAGGGTTGTCCTGTAAAGAAAGCTACAAGAACAAAAGACGGGCTTCTGTCTCTCTGTCTGATCTTCTTTTTTTCTTCCGCTCTGCTACTACCCTTAGGCCTTATCAAAATCCAAGAGTTGAGTCTTCAACATTCATGGAGTTATAATCATCCATCTAACAACCAATAAAATCAACAATATTTGTCCTTAATCAAACCTTATTTTCTCTAATCTAATCATCCATCAAGATTCAAAGAAAAATAAAAATTGAATAAAATAAATGGATCAGAGGGCTATTTGCGTCATGAGGGAAGGACAATATTACCAAAGAAGGTTTTCAAAGTACACTTTATAACAAAGAAGGCCACAATCCAGACAAGAGAGAGCTGAGAAGCAGCAGCTATTGGAAATTTGGAGCGTTTGTCAAACCGTGATTGGCGTGTCTCTGTATCTTTTTGTTTGAGATTGACGTCGCTAGTCCATACTCCATACAGATACTGGTTCAGCACCTGATAGCCTTGATTTCTCCCATAGTCTTAACTCTTAATCACCGTTTTCAAAAGCGGACCGGAAAAACTAGGAATCGGTTTCGTTTTCCTCCAAAATCGTTTTTTCTTTCAAAACCGTTTATTTTTGTTCAGCAAACTGTTGAACCGGCCGGTTAATCGTTCGAACGAGTTTGCCCGTTTTCCAATTTTTTATTTTTTATTTTTTTTTACTTTTTTTATTTTTTTTGTCAGAATGGGCTAGTCGTTCGAGTCAAACGATCGGACCGTTCAAACCGGTAACCGGACCCTGACCGGTTCGTTTTTAAAAACCATGCTCTTAATAATAATTAATTTTTTTTAAGAAGTAGGGCCCTCTTAAGTCCTAAATCACTTTGGATTTTCGGATCATGTTAAGTATAGCCTCATGGTTTCACACATTGGATTGTTTGTTATTAAAGCTCAGTTTGCAAGGAGTACAAATACAAATATATATGGTATAAATTCATACAAAACAATACAAAATATAAGGTTTTATGCTTTACATATATTTGTATTTGTAGTCGTTCCAAATGGAGTCTAATGAAGAGGCTGCATGGCGCAGAGATTGTAGATCTTTGGCAATTGGCATGGCCAAACCAATAACTAGCTGTAGTGACTTGTGAGTGAGGGTGTTAATGGACCAGTTTTGGATTGGATCCATCAAGTCCAAAATCAATTTGAACGGATTGGACGGACTAACAAGACATATTGGATTGGATAAATCTGATCCAAAATATTTATTAGATTGGATTGGACTTGATATATTCGTAACAAATTTATGTTGGATCGGATTAAGCCAATATCTAATCCATTGATACAAGATAAGAATATATGTGTCAAATGACCGAGTTTGAGTTAAAACCAATCTAAATCAAAATGAATTTGAATAGATTGGACGGTCTAGACATTGAATTGAACCAATCCGAATTGATTCAAAGCATTCATTGAATTGAATTAGACCTGATTCATTTATAATGGACTCATATTGGACTAGATCAAATTATACCAAATCCAATCCAATTGACACCCCTACTTGTGAGTTGTATGGGGGCCTATGGATATGGATTGAAGGGGACAAAGAAATAATTGTGACGAACAGCAGGCTGAGTACCACCTTGCATCTTTGGGGTTCAGGAATCAAGCCACGAATGGATTGGAGATGCCGACAGTTAGCATAGCTTAGGGAGGCTTTCTGAGACGACCAATGGCCAATGGGGTTCACGTTCATCTGGATTAAGAAAACGAGAGGCAGAAATTGAATTGAATTGGGTGTTTTAAAATAATGGCAATTTGGATACCCAAAAGAAATTAGAAATTGTCGTTTGTGAATGATTCTGGGTTTCTTAACCAAGCCTATGAGTATTGCTATTTGACAGGTTTAATTAGGTTTAGTTCAAACATCTTATCATCGGCTCCAGGTGATGATTGAATTGTTTATACCCGTCCGGAATTTGGATCAAATAGTTAGAAATGAAATGAAAGGGGGATTCCTTTTTTTCGGATTTTGAGAGAGAAAAAAGTTGGTTAAAGGGATTTACATTTCCGTTGATCAAGAAATTTATGTTTTTTTTTTTTTAGATTTATATTGGGATTAATGAAAGTTTATTTTCTTGGGTATTACTTAAGTAATACCTATTTCTTAAGTGGGTAAACAACTTTTCTACCTTTAGGGAAAGTTGCCAACACTTGAATAAGACAAAAATGATTTTTATGACTAAAATGGTCATTGCTTTATTTGCATGAAAAATAAAAGAACATGAATAAATATATTTACCTAAGTAAGTATTTTTTTAAGAAATACTTATCCAAATAAATGCATTTACCTGGATAACTTACCCGAAAAACAAACAGGGCAAAAAAAACCATTGAGAATGTTTTCAGTTTGATAGAAAAAAAAAAAAAAAAAAGTCCAAGACCTCAACATTCTGTTTCTCTCAATTTTTTAAACATGGCGTAAAGTATAACTAGGCAAAAAAGTCGTCCCAGGCAACTACTGGACCAAAGGCATGAAAGAATGTGCATATATGTATGTGTTTCTCTTCTCGTTGATATCATTTAAAATTTTTTTGATTCATTGACTAAGCTTTGGTATTATACACTAGCTCACTTTTCTAAAATTTGAGGGTATCCATATCAAGAGATGCGGTTAAGTTTTCTATTAAAATCTCTGAATATTGATGCATCTTAGACATGAAATTTAGTAATGTTGTTGTTTATTTGATATTGGTTCTTTATCCCCCACCCTCGATGTTATCCTTTTTAATTACTCGTATGAGAATATGTTTTTCATTGATAGAAAGCACAATATATTAACTTTTGATCATGAGTAATGTAGGAGAATGAAATTTACACAAGCTTAGCTTCGGCAATTTCGGTTTGTAATTTTTCAATCCTTTTGTTACTTCCTCTATTATCTCATTGAGATTATAGTATCTGAGGTCCATTAATAAGAATTTATGTTTTCTTTTCCTTTTTCTTCTTCGTCAATCATAACCCTTTTGCAGTTTGTATCTGAGGTCCTTTTGCAGTTTCTTCACCAAATTTTTGTTACTGGAAGAAATATGAAGAAAACAATAGGGAACATATATAGATCACCAAAGGTCAGTCTACTTATTAAGCACATTTGTGAAGTTTTATTTTTCTTGTTCATTGGATTAATCTGGAGAAGCAATAAGGTCTCAACCATGGGGGTGTTTAGTCATCAGGGACCATGTCACTTTTGTGAAGGCAACATAGGAGGGCTTCCTCTTGATCATTTGGGGGTCACGGGAGGTAAGGTCCGTAAGGAGCATGCCTTTTATTCACCACTAGACCTGTTCAATTGTTCGTGGGTGGGCCGAGTAGCCCGACAGGCTGGCCCCCCAGCCCGGCTCATCCTAAATTGGGCTTAGACAAAGATTTCAGCCTGCAGGTTTAGGTTTGAGCTCCAAAAATCGGGCCTGACTATTTTTTGGGCCAGGCTCAGCTTTTCTCAAATAAGTCTGGCTCAATAATATTATTTATATATAATTGAAATATATATATATATATATGTTAATAATATATAATATATTATATAATAATAAAACTAATAGAAAAAGTATTATATATTAAATATATAAAATAATATATTATAAAATACCTATCAAAATAGGGCTTGGGCTTGGTAATATTCTATTTATAAAAAGGCAAAGTTTGGCTGAAGCCCAGCCTGACCCGGACCGTGAAGGGGTCAATTCACCACAAATGGTGCTAAAATGGTGTTGAATTGCCGATTTCATTTCTCTTGCAACAATTATGAAAGATGGTCTACAGTTTCATTTATCAATAGATTGGTAGGGTGGATACTCCTAGCTTAGGAGGACCTCCCACAATATTTGGTAGGAATATATAATGAATATATGATATTAGAAAAGTGACCAAATATTTTCTATATATATTTTTTTGTATTTTATAATTATTGTTATTATTTAACTATGACATCAAGGGTTGGCATTTTTTGTTGACTAACAACCAAACCAGAAAACAAATTCATTTTTTGGTTGGTTTTAAATTTGTATTTTATTCTATCATCAATAAAAACGATTATTCTTTATCACACCTATTTTTCGTTAATATGATTAATTAATATAGGATTTAAACAATAGTTCCAAACTCTCATTCTCACTTTTAGTAATACAATCTCTAACTGTAATGAAATTCAGAAAAAAAAAGGTTAAAAAGTACCCTCTAGTTACCATATAAAGAAACGTATTATCTTATGATCTCTGACCCCTTGTAGTAAAAATACATGGATGTAAGTATATTTCTCACAATTTTAAAATGTCAAAGGTTTCATTATTATCTATCCAATTTTACCATTCATAGCCAAATGCTACGATAAACCACACCTCTCATGAATTTGATTTCGATAAGCTATTTACTTGTGAGTCACCCCCTTACCATATGTCATATGAGGTAGGCTTTATAGTGCAACAATTTGTTGCATATATTGTTTCCATCTTCCTCCCACCTTTATTTTATATATAAAGCAGGGACACATTATTCCACTTTTGAACACTCTAAACCAGATCCAAGGAGGGCAACTTTAAGAATCAAAGCCTGTATCAATTGGACTGGATTTGGTCCAATCCAATCCAGTCCAATGTGAGTCTTGTAATGGATCAGGTCCAATTCAATTCACATTTTGGACGGTTCAATTTAATGTCTGGACCGTCCAATCTGTTTAAACTTGTTTTAATTTAGACTATTTCTAACCTAAACCCGGTTCATTAACACTTATATATTCTTACCTTTTATCAATGGATCAGATATTGGTTCAATCCAATATAAATTTATTATAGATGGACCAGGTCCAATCCAATATGTCATGTTGATCTGTACAATCCATTCAAATTGATTTTGGTTTGGATGGTGTCCAATCCATTGACACCCCTACCAACAAATAGGCACGGTGAAATGGCAACCCCCCTTGAGGGTAAATGGAAGATCAATGTAGATCGACGGAGCAGCATCAAGTATCAACAGCATTGGTTGGGATGGGCGCTGAAGCATATGCTTCTCCATGCTGGCCTGGCGCTGGCGTAGGCGTGCCCCATCGGTCCTTTCTCATCCTTAGAAACTGAGGCCCAATTATCTACCTCACTGAGTGATC